TCAAAATTACACTCTGAATCATCCTAAATTTGGCTAAGTTGTTATCATTCCTAAACTGCCCAAGGACCATGTCTTCTTACTGTATTGGACTTAAATAGTTAAGTATAATCTTGTCAATAAAATGTAGTACCATATTTTTCAGATTTTGCACAAGCATAGCTAATGATCCAAATAATTTCCTATTTTTCATTCTGAGAGGAAATCGTTAATAAACCCATATTCCTTGCAAGACTCAAAATTTAGCTATGAGAAGACACAAACCTCCCATAAAGGCAAGATATAAATTAGCAGTGAAGAAACAGCCTGATTATAATGTCCAGATGGAAATAAAGAACCGAATCATTCTTTGTCAAATCAAATCACATCTTAATAAGTTGCTGCATCATCTCTGTTGATTTAATTAAACTGGAAGATATCAGTAAATGATTATGACCTGCAAGAACATCTTCATTTCCTATGCCCATTAGCATCTGGCCTAGGAGTCCTCTCCTTTTTATTTTGAAGGTGAATTTACCTCTAATTGGCTAACGTTCCCAAGCAACCCATATTTAAAAAGAAAACTAGACCCCCAAATGGAAATAATCAGAATTAAGAAGCAGGAACCCTAGTGTTTGGTCAAGTCTTTTATCAAGGAGAGAACTGAAACACTTCTTTTAGAAGGCCAGCTGATATCTACAAGTTGTCATGGAAACAGGATGTATTCAAATCATATGAGGAATGACGTTCTTCATCTGACTAGGTGTTCATCTCTTCTAAGTGGGGAGACATTGTCGTAGCTGAAATCCATTATATTCCTTTCAAATCTGCATTAACAACCATCATTTCCTTTCTTTTATATAGGAACACATATAGAGAGAGAGACTCTCTCATAAAACGGAGAATTAAAATTACTTGCGAAGGAAATGGTGTGTAAATAAAAGGACACAAAATGAAAATGAACAGCATAGTATAAATCCTCTGACGTGCGGGGAGGGGGTACGAGTGGGAATGGGAATGGCATAACACCTCGGTAGCATTCCCAACTAGTTCCCACAGAATGATCTGCGCTCCCAGAGTTCTCTCCAAGTGGAGGTGACTCCTAGCTGATGCGATGTTACCACTAACAACAGAACCACAACAATAGCCCACAGATCTGATTCTTTTCTTTTTCCTTCCTTCCTTCCTTCCTGCCTTCCTTCTTTCCTTCCCTCCTTCCCTTCCCTCCTTCCCCCTCCCTCCCTCCTTCCTTCTTTCCTTCCTTTCTTATTCCTCCTTCCCTCCCTTCCTTTCTTTCTTCCTCCCTTCTTCTCTCCTCCCCTCCCTCCCTTTCTTTTCCTCTCTTTTTTCTTGAGACAAAGTCTTGCTATGCTGATCTACCCTAGGCTAGTTTTGAACTATGCTCTACCTATGCCTCCCCTATGCTATGATTACAAACACGTGACACCCCAAGTCCACAGATTCTTTTGGAGCTGCAGAAGAAAGTTAGAGCCGTGTTGAACAGGCACTTCCTACATCACAAGGCTGCTGTGTGCTGGTGATGGAACCCAGAGCCTTTGGGCATGCTAGGATAAGTATTCCATCACTGTATCAGACGCTATCTCAGAACACAAGCTGGGTGTGATAGTACAAGCCAATTATCCCAGTTTCAAAAGGAGACAGAGGTAGATGGTCTGTAGTCCAAGGATAGAGAAAAGTGCAAGACGCAGCTGGGCGTAGGCGGCTCACACCTGCAATCCTAGCTAATCAGGAGGCTGAGGTCTGAGGATTGTGGTTCAAAACCAGCCTGGAGAAGAAAGTCTGTGAGACTCTTATCTCCAATTATCACCAAAAAAACAGAAGTGGAGCTGTGGCTCAAGTACTCAAGAGTGCTAACCTTGAGCAACACAAGGGACTGCACCCAGGCCCTGAGTTCAAGCGCCAGGACCAGCACAATAAATAAATACCACCCCCAAACCCAAACTAAAAAACACTACAGCAAAACGGTCTGGTGGTGTGGCTCAAGTGCTACACTGTTTGCTGAGTAAGTGCAAGGCTGAGTTCAAACCTCAGCCGGGGATAGGTGGAGCTGGGAGGGAAGGGGAAGACCAAGGGATGGAGTGACACTAATCAAGATGCGCTGTACTCAGAAACTGACTTACTGAGGTGAAACCCTCTACACAGCTACTGAAAAATAGAAAAAAATCGAAAAATAGGATAGGAAATAAGAGCTACTGTTTTGTGAGCCCTTAATTATGCCCCACACTTGTTTATCTATAGGTCAGCCTTTAAAAGTAGGTAAGCTTATTGATACTGGGACTTAAGATGGGCAAGTACCCATCATTTCACAGGAGGCCCCAAGTGCAGCCCTGGTCTGTCCAGTTTCATGCTTCTGCTCCTAACATTCCCCCATTCTCTGGAAGGTGTGGTTGGTCCCTCTGACAGCATTTCTATCATTAAGCAATGATGTCAGCCTTGACTTAGGGAAGGGTTCTGGTAATAACTGCAATGAACCCAAACACCAAAACACATGAAAAAAATCAGTCACCCAAGACAGAGCAAAACCAAATGCACCATACCGAAAAGGAAAACAAATGTACACACACACACACACACACACACATACACACACACAGATACACACACACACACACACACAGATACACACACACACACACACACACACACACACACACTACAAAGGAACAGAAGCAAGGACAGAAAGATTTTCTTTTTTTCCAGAGGAAATAATATAGATGAAGAGATACAGGATTAATATCTTTGACAGTTTAAAAAGAAAATAAACACTAACATTCTAGCATTCTATACCTAGTAAAATTTCTTTTCAAAAACAACGAAAAAGAACTAGCTACGAGAAAGAAAGAACATACCAGCTTTTCTGAGTGCCCCTTGAGTACAGTGAAAAATTTTGAACATTACAGATAAGCCAAATAAAAGATGACATTAAAAAGGGGTAAAAAGGGGCAATCTTGTGATACAGTCACCTCTCAAGTGGTCCACAAAATGGCGACCAAGCTTCTGGAAACATTTTATATTCAAGTCAGAACATAAACTGTGTTAAACAAAAACAACCAAATAGCATGAGTTTCGTAACACATATGAACACAACAGCACTAAGTTCAAGTATGAACTAATGTAAGCCTTAGAAGTATGTGAAGAGATATATCACTGACATAGACTGCTATATGCTAAGGACGAATGCCATAAACCCTCAGGAAAACACTAAAATAACAAAACAAAGAATCATAGCTAATAATCCAAGAAAAGAACTCAGAAGAAATCACAGGGAACAATCTAAAGGGAAGTACAAACACAGAGGAAAAGAAACAAAGGGCACAGAAGACAAATAAAATCAAACAAGGAGAGCTACAGCTTATCACGTGAGATGTAAACAGGCTCCGTAACCCACAGGACTGCTAGGGATTGTTAAACTGGATTAAAAAACAAGGCCCCCAAATACTGCTGCCTGCAATAAGCAATGCACTTTAAATAAGAGACAGACTTGACTTAAAAGTAAATCCCAGAGTGTGTATTTCTTTTTCTCCACGTAATATGCAGAAACTTTGTAATGTGTGCCAAACCACATACTTGTACACATGCATGAACATAAATATACACATGCTGAAATCCCAGAATTTGGTGTAAACAAAATTAGAAGTTACTATATCCTTGGTTTGATTTTATGACCATAGCCCACAATAATTTTTACAATTAAAAACTCAATGGAAAAGGTATACCATTAAACGGCAAGAGTCTCTTAAGTAAATCTTAGAACAAAATATTGCAAGGAATGAAGATGCTAATTAGGAAGAAAAGAGTAGGTTCACCTAAAGGACATAGTAATCCTAAATATAACAGACTTCAAAAATACATAGAGCAAACACTGCTAGAAAAGGAGAAATATATAAAACCCTCATTATAGTCAGAAATTTCAATACTCCTCTTGCAAAACCTGATAGAACACAGAGAGAGAAAAATCAGTGGGCATACCAACACTATCAAACAACTTTGCCTGACTGATAGTCATAGAGTACTCTATCCAAGAACCAGACAATACATGCTTTTCTCATGTGTCCACTGAGTGTACACTAACACAGAACATTCTGTCTCCATAGAACAAGTCTTGGGGTTCAAGGCATGTAAGTACATTCTGACACAATGGGATTAAATCAGAGCACCCTACTTCTGTATAAGTTAGGGACAATAAATAAATAAAGAAATTAGAAAGAATTCTGAAATGAACGAACATAAGAACACACATATCAACTTTATGGGATATTGCTTAATGAATTTTTAGAAGTCAATTCATAATTCCCATGATGAAATAAAGACATTAATCCAATGAACTCAGCTCCCAAAATGAGTGTGGTAACACACACTTGTGATCCCAGCTACTCTGGAGTCTGAGGCAGAAGAATTGCCAGTTTGTGAGACCTTGTGTCAAAACAAGAAAAATCTGAAGACCAAAGAATGTGGGTAGAGCGCTGCCTAACAAATGCAAAGACTTGGGTTCACTCTTCAGTATAGAAAGTTGAATGGGGAGGACGTGAAACTTATCTCAAATGAAGTAAAAGAAAAAGAAAAGAAAACAGAAAAACAGCAGAGAAAAATCAATGAACTCAAACTAAGATTCTTTGAGACTAAGCCTTTTTGAGATTCTTAGAGAAGTAGATCCACACACAGACAACAGAGGTACAAAACACGATTTAGTGAGCAATAATTTTTTAATATAGTGCTGTAACAAAGCCAGGCACTGATGGCTCATGCTTATAATACTAGATATGAAGAAGGCTGAAATCTGAGAATTGCGGTTCGGAGCCAGCTGGGTGGGAAAGTCTGTGAGACACTTATTTCCAATTAACCAGCAAAAAGCCAAAAGTTGAGGTGTAGCTCAAGTGAAAAGTGCCAGCCTTGAGTGGAAAAAGACGAGGAATAGTGTCCAGGCCTTGAGTTCAAGCCCCAGTAAAGGCATCCAAAAGGGGCAAGGGCTTGAACTGGATATCCAAGTTTGAAAAACTACATATAACCCTTGTGTGAGTGCCTTTGCCTAATTTGTAACAAAACCTTACAGACAGTGCAAACAGGAAATCCTCTTTTGCAACCCAGAACTCCTTGTTGAGTATTAGTTTTTGATACATGGAAGAAGGAATATGAAAAAAGAAACCCCACATAATTTTCAATAGTATCTCATACTATTTATAAAAATTAAGTATGGGACATAAAACTAAAGCGTCTAAAATAATAAGACTGCTAGAAGAAAACAGGAGAAAAATCTCTATGACTCCTGGTCAGACAAGAATTCTCCAAAAAGCATGATTTATCTAATAATCCAAATGGGTAGAGGTGTCAAAATTACAGTCTTTTGTTCTTCAAAATATATATTAAAAGAATAAAAAGGAGAAAATATATGCAAACCATCCATCTGGAAAAGAACTTGATTCTGTAGTGCATGCAGAATTCTCAAAAGTAAATAAGAAAATCTATGACCGATGGGGGGAAAATACAGGCTAAAAAAAAATGGAGAGGTTGATTATAGCAAAGACTATGACCTTTCCATTTCCCACCAAGCTCCTTCCTTTTCTTCCCCTCCCCCCTCCTTCTGATAATAGGGGGGACTGGACTCAGTACCTTCCAATCACCTCTCGAACCACACCTCAGTCCTAGCCTCTGCCTCTTAAAGGTTTCCTTCCATCCCAATACATGAAAGCCTGGGGGACACAAACCTTATCCAAACCAAGGCAATAGACTAGTGAAGTCAAGAAGTAGATGCTAGATCCTTAAAGACATATCTTGTAGGCCTCTGCTCTATAATACAGGGCACTTTAAAAGGGTGGGCGTCAAAAATCTGTACCGTAGGAAACCTCAGTGATTGCCCAATAGTGGTTGGATTGTTGAGTGAAGACAGAACAGCAGAGGAGGAGAGGACACAGAATAGCAGCCTTGACATGTCAATCACACCTTAATGTCAGGCACACAGCGTGCCCTGAAGAACAGGTTTGACACTCAGAGCAGCATCTGGCTGCTGCACGGAAAACTGAGGATCACAACAATAGCTAGTTCAGCCACTAGAGGGAGCTCCAAGAGCCACTAAGCGTAAAAGAACCCGGTGGTGGCTTTCTTCCATCACACAGAGCTGTGGCTCAACCACACATGAGAACGTTTATTACAGAAGCAACCACAATAGAGTTTTAAATGGTGATAAAAAGTTCTTGTTGACTCCTGCTTGATTCTTTTTAATACTGAAGGTGTTCATTTTCAGGTGATTGAAACACTGCTGATGACAGCGTGGGTATTCTCCATTTTGGTCTAGAATTGTGAAACCCCTCAACTTGGCATCTTTCTATGGTGTTGATAGGGTTTCCCTCTGTTGTGTATTCATTCCGCAATACCACCCCTGTGTGCTTCCTTAAGAAGTCAAGACTTAATCCAGAAGTCACGCTGTGGCCCAAAGGGTAGAGTGCCAGCCTTGATTGAAAAAGCTAAGTGACAAAGTCCAGGCCCTAAGCCCAGACTCCTCCCACCCCACCACCCCAACACACCAAGAAGTCAGACTTGCAGGTCAAACAGCCTCTATGTCTACCTTGTCCTCCACTTTGTATGCATGGTTCTGTACTCCATTTGCTGCTCAAGTTCTACCTCTAGACCATGAGATTATAGCATCTTGAAGCATCTGTGAGCCAATGAATGCAAGATACTTTAGTGTATTAACCAAATGTGTGTGCGTGCATGTGCACGCAAATGCGTGTGCGCGTATGTGCGCGCGCGCGCACACACACACACACACACACACACACACAAAAGTGGCTCTAGGGCTGGAGGCTTTGCTCCAGCAGAGTGCCTGTCTAGCAAGCACAAGGCCTTGAGTTCAATCTCTCATATCACCAAAATAACAAACCCCCCAAAAGACAGCTTTTCTAGTAAATACACTTCAATAAAAAAAGGTACCTAAAATATGAACTCTTTCATCACACTAAGCAAGCCCATTTCAGCATCAAATCCCTGCAGCTGGAAATGGCCAAGCCCACCAAGGGTTACCCTGGCTTCATGGCCCCCTGGCAGTCAGTCCCTGAGAAGATCCAAGAAATCAGACCTTACTGGCCCTGTTCACTTACAAAATCACAGCCAGAAGTTTGTGTCACCCTCAGTCGCTACCCACCTTTCAAGAAAGGCATCACAAGAGGCCACAGACACCACTTTGCTTGGATATGTTTTACTTTCTACAATTCCAATTCTCTTAGGACATTTGCAGAACTGCACAACTATCATTACAACCTGGGTTTTGTTTGTTTTTTTGTTTGTTAAGATGTTTTCATCACCTCAAATCCAACACAATACCCATACACAGTCCTTTTGCAATCACCAAAAAAGTCAATCTACTTCAGGTTTGTGGGTTTACCTCTTCTTTGCATTTCATATAAAGAGATTATTTATACGATACATAGACTTTTTTTCTTTTGGCCAATCCTAGGGCTTGAACTCAGGGCCTGGGCACTGTCCCTGAGCTTCCTTTGCTCAGGGCTAGCACTCTACCACTTGAGCCACAGCACCACTTCCAGCTTTTTCTGTGTATGTGGTACTGAGGAATCGAATCCAGGGCTTCATGCATGCTAGGCAAGCACTGTACCACCAAGTCAGATTCCCAGCCCAATACATAGACTTTTAAATTTGGGCTTCTCCCATTTAGCCTAATGTTTGCAAGGTTCACACATGTTGGAAAATTATGTGTCAGCTCTTCATTTCTTCTTCTTCACTCACTTGTGTGTGAGTGAAAAGCCTGAGTGCTGTTTTTGAATTTTTTTGCTCAAGCTAGCACTCTATCACTTGAGGAATAGCTCCGCTCTAGTTTTTTGGGGTTAGTTAGGGATAAGAGTCTCATAGACATTCCTTCCCAGGCTGGCACTGAACTATAATCATCAGATCTCAACCTCTTGATCAGCTAAGATTATATGCATGAGCTACCCAGCCACTCACTTATTGATTCATGAGCATTCACACTGTTTCTTCCTTTGGGTTAATATGATGATGACTTCTATGAATATTCATGCACAGGTTTCTGTGTGGACATGTGTTCATGTCTCTTGGGCATATCCCTAGGAATGGAACTGTTGGGTTACAAGGCAATGCCGTGTTTAACGTTTTGAGGAGCCGTTCAAACATTTCCTAAAGGAGCTGTGAGATATTTCACTCCCACCAGCATTGTATGAACTCCTTTCTCCATGTCATTGCCAATGTACACTGGCACGTGTAATGGCTGTGGATGTATCTACTGGCACGTGTAATGGCTGTGGATGTATCTACTACCATAGGTATGTGACACTCGGCCCAGATTCTCAGACCTTACAACTGCAAAACCACAATGGCTAAGAACAGGGATGATATGGCACATATGACTCAATGTCAGGTGAGGTCTCTCTCTCTCTCTCACACGCACACACACTCTGTCTCTCTGTCTCTGTCTCTCTCTGTCACACACACACACACACACTCTGTCTCTGTCTGTCTCTCTGTCTGTCTGTCTGTCTGTCTGTCACTCTCTCTCCCTCATACACACACACACAGGACTGTGTATTCTGAAATTTGTGCACTTGCCCAGATCACTGCTCACCTTAAAGAGGCAAGGCACCATGCTGAGCCCCAAGGAACATGTCTCTTCACCAGCAGAGAAAAATGGCAATCCAAAGTAAGAAACAGGGTTTCTAGGAAGGAGTTATATATATATAAAGAGAGAGAGTCCTTACACCCTCAGTTTATTTGACTCCCATCCATACTTGTCAGAGGAATATCGAGGACCTATTATATACACAGTATCCTGGTCTGGGACAGGGAATACACAAGTCAGTCGGCTCAGTGTACAAGTACAATGTACAAGTACTCGTCCTGTTAGGTAAGAGACAATATGAATGCAATTTCCACTTATGTTGTGCCACCTGGGGGCACACCTTTGGCTATGCTCTTTGAATCTTTCAGATTCAGCGGTTCAGAGAAGTCAAAAAACCAGCTCCAGGATGCTAAGCTAGTAACTGGCTGCCTGTGGGTTTGAACCAGAGTGTACCCACCTCTAACACTTGTTTTGAATCTTAGAGCTTCCTCCCAGGGAGAGGCTCAGCAGAGTGACTGATGTCTTTCATGGCCTAGCATCCATTGGGCATAGATTGTTTTCTAAGAGTTGGGAATACAGCCAAGTCAAAACAACCTTCTCTAACTTGGTGTTCTGTGTAGTCGTTGGCCAAAAGCCCAACGTTGCAGAGGAGATAGTGGCAAAAAATGGCTGCCATGACCAAGAACTCAGGGACTTGCTGCCAACCAGTCCCCTGGAACAGTCTGGTTTCCATGGCAACCCACAACTGTACATGTGCATCAAAGAAGCAAAGTTACTCGGGGTGTGTGTGTGTGTGTGTGTGTGTGTGTGTGTGTGTGTGTGTGTGTGTGTGTTTGGGGGGGAATCTCAACTTTTCTATGTGCAAAAAGAAAATTTGGTTGTAAGTAAAATGGAAACTTTTTATAGGGAAAAAAAAATCTTAGAGTTGCTTTACTTTGATATGCAAGTACTCAATTTAGTGTCTAAGAAAGTATTTAGAAGTCTTGCCGAAAGCTTCCTAGAAACAGTAAAAGGAATAGCAGTAGATTCTGGCCAATGAAATGTTGATGAGTTTTCCTTAAGTATTAATCTACTCAGCAAATGTTGAGAAGGAAAGATGTAGACATATAAATGCCGCAAGAGTGTTGTGATTTATACATTTCTCTACTGCCACTTCTGTTATTTGATTCAGGGCAAATGACTAAATCTCAAATCCCAAAGAGAAGCATATGGGACCATATAGGTAGTAATAAGAAAAACACAGAGGAATGCAGGGAAGGATTACCGCTTCTTCAGCATATTTTCTAAAGATTACATCTTCACAAATAGTTAACAACCCTTCACTTCCTTTTTCTCAGAGACACACTGAACCTCAGGAACCCCAAGAAATCATGCAGTATAGTGTCTCTTTAGCAAATGTGAACAGTCAAGATGCTAAGCGCGTACATGACTTGCTGAATGACATTTATTCATCAGAGCAAATACTTCAAGATTCCAGCCATGTGGGGCAGACACTAACCTACCAGTGGGAGGACAAGGATTTTACTTTCTGCCCAGACACCAAGGAGGCTCTGTGTAATACTCAAGTGTTGGAAAAGGTGGTTTGGGAAAACCAGGCCCTCTCTGATGTACACAGACACCCGTTTGTTCACTTGCTGTCTTTATAAAGGCCATAGCTTTCTTTCATCCAGATGTTTGTGGTGGTTCTAATGGGGGAGGAGGAGAACTTTCAGCCTCGAGTTGCTGGCTCTTATTGGTGGTGAATGCTGGATCAGATTAACCCTCCTGTGTCTCATCTGCAACTAAAGACTAAGAAGGGGGACCCCAGATGGTCCAACAATGATTCAAGAAGAGGTCAGGAGCCATGTTCTAGATCTGAGGATCTAGGTTCCAAACCAGACTGGGCAGGAAAGTCTGTGAGACTATCATCTCCAATAAACTACCAGAAAACCGGAAGTGGCGCTGTGGCTCAAGTGGTAGAGCACTAGCCTTGAGCTGAAGAGCTCAGGGACAGCGCCCAGACCCAGAGTTCAAGCCCACGGCCTACAACAACAAAGAAGGACAAAGAAGGAAGAAAGGAGGAGGAGGAGGAGAAGAGCACCCAGGAGAGGTGTGTGAGAGCTGCAACAAGGCATTTCTTCCTCTGTGCAGATGCAGTCTAAGTGTGGAGGCCCACACTATTGCAAGAGCTCATTCTGTGTGTGTGTGTGTGTGTGTGTGTGTGTGTGTGTGTGTGTGTGTGCTTGTACTGAGACCTGAACCCAAGGCCTTATGCTCTTGCTTACCTTTTTCACTCAAGGCTGGCACTCTACCACTACCACTAAAGAGTCATCTCTCCATTTCCAGCTTTATGCTGGTTAACTGGAAATCGGAGTCTTGTGGATTTCTCTGCATGGGCTGGCTTTGAACCTCAGATTTCCTCCTCCTAAGTAGCTTGGTCACTGATACCTTATGTGTCTCATTTTAAACAAAGAAATAAACACCAATTTCTCACCCTCTCCTGTTGACAGTGATAGTCAACAATATGTGCATGTTACAATGTAGGGCTTCTAGAAAACTCTTCGGAAAGATAGCCAACTTAGATGGCAGGAAAACTTGGACTTAGATGGCAGGAAAACTTAGACTTAGATGGCAGGAAAACTTGTACTTTGCCCTCTTCTCTTTCTTTCCACCTGGAATTCCAAAGCAATGGCTGGGTTGTCTGCAGTCAACTGTGATCACAAGGGAAGGGTGAAATTATTTTCACAGACCCGGGCCTTGAGCTCAAAATCACTAACCTCCACACTTCTTTTTCAAGGAAACAAACACATTTATATTCCTTTTCTTTTTTGCAGTTCCTAACCAATCCACACTCTAAAACTTATTTCTGTTTCTGTCAACATGTATCTGCCTTCTTGTTCCTGAGAACCTGGAGGGGGGGAAGAGGGAGTCTCAACAGAGGTGTTGGCTAAAGTTTGGCAAAAAATGTTCAAAGTATCCTCAAAGGCCTTGCTACTTCCTAGTGTGGACAGTGAATGTGTAGTTCAAGTGGCAGAATGTCTGATGAGAAAGCCTGAGGTTAAGGTCAAGTTCAAACCCGCATACTGTAAAAACATAGTGTGGAGCACTGATAACACTGGTGTCATGCAGGACTTTGTTACGAATTCAGACTCTCTGGGACTGATCTACTGCATCGGCAAACATACTTTAATGGGATTTCCGGTGCTTTCTGTACATAGTTTATGGCTATAGCGTCTAGGTTCCCAAGCTCTGCTCTGGAATCATCTCCCCTCCTCCCCCAACACCATTTTCCAAATAACCACTCCCCCAAACTGAGTTCTCATTAACTTCTCTCCGCAAAACTCTCAAGGACTCCTTAGGACCTATAGACTAATGAATTTAGACCCATCTTACCAAGACAACCAAGACCTGCTGTGGTCTTACACTGTCCTGGAAATGTAAACCAAGATGGCCATTATGCATGTAGGTAAACTATCCTTTTCTGTATAAAACAAAACAAAACAAGTATAAGAAACCACATTCTCCTTAATTCCAACTGTAGCATGCTAGGCCTTGGGGGATAGAGAGGTACAAAGCAAACCACTGCCACCACTACAACAAACAAGACATGGTCCCTTGTCTTCAGGGAGCTTACAGACAGGATGTGAAGAAGAAATACAAAACCAACAGTGAGAAAGTAGACGCACCAGGAAGGAATGAGCAAGGGGAGTGAGGCCGGGCTTGCCAGAAGGCCTGAGGCTGGTTCTGCCGAGGAACCAGCAGGTGCACGGAGAGCCCTGCCTGGCGAGTTGAGTGTGGATGGAAGATCAGAACCAGGAAGGGAAGGTGGATGGATGGGGCTCGCTGGGGAGAAAATGCGGACTTGCTCTTCCCTTGATAGGCGTTTCGAGGGGCTCAGCGATGAGTTAAGAGCAGACACCTACCTGCCCCGTGACTGCGCGTCTAGCCCTGGGAACCGAGGGGATCAAGTGAAATTTAGTCTCCCTGTGTGGCTGCGTCCCAGCTCTGCGCCCTGCTCCACCCCTCCCCACCTCCAAGCCTCGGTTTCCCCAGGGATCCCGTGGCGCTTAGAAGAGACTCAACTTTATATTCATCCTGGAGCTTGGGGGTACAGCCCCCATCACTGAGTGACTACCCGCGGTTTGTGGCTGCTCTGCCGTCACCGCTCTCAATTCCCATTCGCGTTCTCCTCCCCATCCCCGTTATTCCTGACACCCCCCCTCCCCGCCCCCAGGCTTCCCCGGGCCCTGCCATTCCAGGCGACTTCTCCCCCCCCCCCCGACCCCCGCTACACCCCACTCCCAACCCCCAACTCACAGCCATCGACCCCAGCGCGGGCGCAGGACGCCGCTGCCGGACCCCCGTTACCTGGGGCCAAACGCGCCTTGTCGCCACCTTGCGTCCTGGGCCCGGCCTCCCTCCCGGCAGCCTCCCGGCCCCGCAGCGGTCGCAGCGGCGCCCCCAGCCCCGGCCGGGCCCGGGCTGCGCGGGATGCCTCGGCGGGGCCGGCGGCGGCGGCGGCCACGCTGCGCGCTCCGGCGGAGGGGAGGGGGCTCGGCGGCGGCGGCGGCGGCGGGCCCGGCGGGGGGCAGAGCCAAGAGGCGCGGCGGCGGCGGCGGCGGAGGCGGAGAAAGAGGAGGATGCGGGGGGCTGCGGGCGGCCGCGCGGCCCGGTCCGCAGTGAAGCCCGCGGCGCCCCGGGTGCAGGGAGTGGCCGTCGCCACCCGCGCGCACCATTCCTGAGATGGCGGCGGTGGCGCGGCGGCGGCGGCGGCTCCGGGAGCCGAGGAGGAGCGGGACCGGTGCGGGCTGAGCCTTTCCCTCCCCCCCTCTCCCGCCCTCCCCTCCCGCCCCCCCCCCCATCGCCGACCCGGGGAGCCCGCCGAGAGCCCCTCGCGGCCGAGGAGCGCGGGCCGGGCGGCCTGCGGGGAGCGGCGAGGCCCTCGGGGGAGCCTCCCCCCACCCCCCGGGGCGGAGCGCACGGCCTGGGTGGGGAAGAGAGCGCGATGGCGAACGCGAGCGAGCCGGGCGCGGGCGGCGGCGGCGACGGCGGCGGCGGTGGCGGCGGCGGCGGCGGCGGCGGCGGTGGCGGCGGCGGCGGTGGCGGCGGCGGCGGCGGTGGCGGCGAGGCGGCCGCGCTGGGCCTCAAGCTGGCCACGCTCAGCCTGCTGCTGTGCGTGAGCCTGGCGGGCAACGTGCTGTTCGCGCTGCTCATCGTGCGGGAGCGCAGCCTGCACCGCGCCCCGTACTACCTGCTGCTCGACCTGTGCCTGGCCGACGGGCTGCGCGCGCTCGCCTGCCTCCCGGCCGTCATGCTGGCGGCGCGGCGGGCGGCGGCCGCGGCGGGGACCCCGCCGGGCGCGCTGGGCTGCAAGCTGCTCGCCTTCCTGGCCGCGCTCTTCTGCTTCCACGCCGCCTTCCTGCTGCTCGGCGTGGGGGTCACCCGCTACCTGGCCATCGCGCACCACCGCTTCTACGCCGAGCGCCTGGCCGGCTGGCCGTGCGCCGCCATGCTGGTGTGCGCCGCCTGGGCGCTGGCGCTGGCCGCGGCCTTCCCGCCCGTGCTGGACGGTGGCGGCGGCGGCGACGACGAGGACGCGCCGTGCGCCCTGGAGCAGCGACCCGACGGTGCCCCCGGCGCGCTGGGCTTCCTGCTGCTGCTGGCCGTGGTGGTGGGCGCCACGCACCTCGTCTACCTCCGCCTGCTCTTCTTCATCCACGACCGCCGCAAGATGCGGCCCGCGCGCCTCGTGCCCGCCGTCAGCCACGACTGGACCTTCCACGGGCCCGGGGCCACCGGCCAGGCGGCCGCCAACTGGACGGCGGGCTTCGGCCGCGGGCCCACGCCGCCCGCGCTCGTGGGCATCCGGCCCGCGGGGCCCGGCCGCGGCGCGCGCCGCCTCCTCGTGCTGGAGGAGTTCAAGACCGAGAAGCGGCTGTGCAAGATGTTCTACGCCGTCACGCTGCTCTTCCTGCTCCTCTGGGGGCCCTACGTCGTGGCCAGTTACCTGCGGGTCCTGGTGCGGCCCGGCGCCGTCCCCCAGGCTTATCTGACGGCCTCCGTGTGGCTGACGTTCGCGCAGGCTGGCATCAACCCCGTCGTGTGCTTCCTCTTCAATCGGGAGCTGAGGGACTGCTTCAGGGCCCAGTTCCCCTGCTGCCAGAGTCCCCAGGCCACGCAAGCCACCCTCCCCTGCGACCTGAAGGGCATCGGGTTGTGAGGGACCGCACACCCGGGCACCCCCACCCCACCCCGGCCACCCTCACCCGCCATCCAGGCCTTTCCCTGTGGCTTGAACAGTGATCTTCCTTCCTTCTCTCCATTCTGTCCTTCTTTTGGTTTTCTAAGCTGCCTTCAAAATGACTTCAGAGTGGACACACACTTGGATTATTGTACAGACTCCAGATTTGCGGGGGAGGGCGGGCGGGCGGGAGGGCTGCTGGGTTCCTTGTCCCAGCTCAGTCCACTTTGTCATTCTGACTCTTTTCTTCCTGACAGTAGGCCCTGCAGGGCATTTGGGGGGGAGGGGGCGAGGGGGGGCTGCTGGAACTGAACTTCTTTTCTTCCATGTGTAATTTCTCTCTCACTCGTTTTTGTTTTTTAAATAAGAGCTAAACTAATTTTCTTCATGCAAAGTTTCCTAAGGACCATGGCCAGTTTTCTACAGAAGCTATTTTTGACAACCTCAAGTGGCATTATAGTTGCATGGAGGTGGAATGAACAAAGCTAGAGGACTTGGCAAGTTGGATTGCTTGAGGGTCTTCTGTTGGTGGCTGGAGGACGGGCAAGGAGTCTTCCCTTCCCTCTGTGTCTCAGGCCACAGGGCCAGTTGTCTGAGCCTGTTCTTGGCAAGGTTGGAGAACTTTTTCAGTGTTGACATTGAACTTAAAGAGCAGACGGATCCGGGAGTCGGTAGAAGGCAGTCACGTCTTAAAGTTTATACTGCTGCAAACCACACATCAGCAGACAGCTGCTCTCTGTATTTTATCAATCTTGGATGGAAACATTTCTGTAAAATTGTAACTTTAAAAAGAGTAAAAAGTGTTTTGGTTAGTGATGGTGTGGAGAAAATACAGTATTGCATGTGTTTGTATGTACTGATCTGATTCAGGACTGGGAGGGTTTTGGAAAGCAGAAGAACAACAACATTGTTTAGGTGGTTTATGCCAATGAAAAGTTAAAAGTACTTTTTATGGAAACAGCTTGTGCTGTGAGAAGCCTGGTTTTCTTCTGTCTTACAAAACTAATTTCCACTTTGAAGATTGTTCTGTTGTTCATGGTATGAAAAAATGGAATATAATGATATCCCTCCTTCTATGAGACAAAACATGTCCTTAATAGTGTTTGCTAGGTTAGGCTGTGCTGTTGTTCTACTGATGGTTGTTTAAAACTACTAATAAGGATTATAATTTTAAGTAACGTTTCTTGATTAGACATTGTAATTTGAAACAAAGACTACATTCGGCAAGTACTGTATAATAATTTTTGCTTAAAATGCTACATTTTTACTAATGTACCTTCCGTTTTGAGGATTTATATCTGTATTTCTCTTGGCATTACACAAATATACCAGTATTTTCATTCTGGAGTAGTGGTTCTGTTATTGGTCAAGGCCAGGGCTATAAGCGCGTACCTTGTGTTCCGTATCATTTTAGTACTTGTTATTCTCTTTCAGGTCGTAGAATTTGAATATTCCCATTTGCAAGGCCTTTGGAGGCATTTTAAATTGTACATGCAAGATTAAAAGCTGCTGACCTTTTCTTTAAATAAAAGAAATGGTAAACACATATATATATTTGTGTATATATATTATATATACAAGGTACATGTACATCAATAAACATAGGCTGAAAGTGTAGCTTAGGGGTGGAGCACTGGCCTAGCATTATACAGGCCCTGGGTTCCATTCCATTCCAGTGTGGATTTTACTATTTTTTTTAAAGGTACACCAATAATTAAAACATGTCAGTACCAGCAGAGTAATCATTTTGATTAAAATAGTCATTATAATGGGTACAGTAAATACATTGAAACTTACTTGGAGCAAATATAAACTATTAAATAGTACAACAGATAAGTAGTAAGATAATATGGCCAGTTTCTCTATGGTAAGTAGGCAACTTTATTCTGTTTTGTTTGTGAAAGTTAGTGTGAGCAGATCATCTATTTGGAAAACATTGTAACCATCACCCCATTTCTCCCCATAGTTTGTAAATCCTGATCAAAATCCATCACCCAAGAGTTGGAAATCTCTGCCAAGCCAAAGAGCAGCCTGAGAATTACAAGTCTTTTCAGTTAGGTCCTGGTTGTTCACACCCTTAATCCTAGCTACTCAGGAGGCTGAGATCTGAGTATCACAATTTGAAGGCAGCCTGGGCAGGAAAGTCTTTGAGACTCTTATCTCCAATAAAATATTCAGAAAAATCCAGCAGTGGAACTGTGGCTCAAGTAGTGGAGCTCTAGCCTTGAGCCAAAGAAGCTCAGGGACAGTGCCTAGACTCTGAGTTCAAGCCCCATGGCACACATACACAAAAAGTCTTCTTCACCAACCATCCATTTACCCAGGTGATGCTAGCTCAGTAACCAAAGGTCATGAAGGCCATATGCCATCCAAAATACTTAGCACCTAGCCTGGCACGAGAACCCAACCAGCACAGAAAACACCTGACTACAAGAGCTTCAGGCAGCAGCTGCAGTGCACCCGACCTGCTGACGATACACAACCCTGGAGTTGGGATGGTTTTTCACAGAGAATCCGTAAGAATTGACATCTGTGCTTGCCAGCATTCATTCAATCCAGACATTTCTATCAGGATGTGTACTGAGATGGCCCAAAGGGGGGATTTTTCCATACCCTCTTCAGATAGTGGAGACATGCCTTCAGGCCTTTGGTCAGATGCAAACTTACACCCACAGGATGTGTTCAAAGTCATTAGCTCAATGTTTGTGGTATAAAAAAAATACGGATTAGACCGGAGAAGGGAAGATTTCCTAAGAGAATTCAGGTGGGGGCAACAAAAACAGCCAACTGTCCAGCAAAACCAAGAACCAAGACAGGTCCAGCCAGCTTTGTGGATTTCTATTGTTAATTGCCCTAATGAGAAATCAACAAGGAGAAGTTAGCTGTGTGTCATTCCTTCCCTCCCAACCCTCCCCCCGACCCTCCCCCCCCAACATTCTGCTCATTTGTCCAGGAGAGATGTGAAGCACTATGGGGAGACTTCCATTAAAATACCTTGTTTAATGGACTGGTAGGGTAGAGTGCTTACAAGGCCCTGAGTTCAAATCCCAGGGCTGTCAACAACAACAACAACAATAGCGTTAGTTTAGAAGTCAAATGAACACATACTCCTCTGCACAGTGAGATAAAGAGTTGCCACTGAACTCTATAGAGTTGCATAGAAATCTTCATTCACATATCTGGGCCTGGACTTACTAGGTTTAAAATGAGCATTGTTAGGTCTTTTAATACCTTACATCAAATAGCTGTATAGGAAGACTAGAACTGTTTCAATTGAAACCTAACATTCATTTCTTTATTTCCAGTAGCAGGTGTCATGTTCACCCAGCCTGACTGCTTAGCTGGCACTCTACCACTTGAGCCATATATCCAGTCCAGCTTTTTGCTGGTTATTTTGGAGACAGAACGTCACCATTTGTCTGCCTATACTAACTTCAAACCTTGATCCTCAGAGTTCAGACTCCTGAGTAGCTAGGGTTATAGGTATGAGTCACCCCATCCAGATTTCAGTCAGGGTTGTTCTTTGTTGTTGGTTTTGGTTGTTGTTATTGTTTCAGTTTTTGTTTTTTGGGGGGTCAGTCCTGGGGTTTGAACTCAAGGCACTGACTTTTGTGCTCAAGGCTAGTGCTCTACCCCTTTGAGCACAGAACCATTTCCAGCTTTTTAGTAGTTAATTAGAGCTAAGAGTCTCACAGACTTCCTTGCTCACTCTGGCTTTGAACCACAATCCTCAGATCTCATCCTCCTGAGTGGCTAGGAGTACAGGTGTAAGCCACTGAAGCCCAGCAACATGCAGTTTTTAAAACAGATATTTCTATGGGGGACACATACAACAAATCAATAGTTAATAATACATCTGACTCTATTGTGCAACTTTGCCAACTCTTGTAAGTTCTGTCAAGTTGATTTCTATTCCTCTTGTGCATTTCCTTATTCTTTCCCTTCTTTCTTATCCCTTCCCTTCCTTTTCTCCACCCTCCCTTTTTGATCTTTTAAATAAAATTATTTCTGACACGACTTTGGTCTGGTCATCAGCCTTCTACAGTGTCAAATGCCCTGTCCCCAAGAGATGGAAGGGCTCTGGGTTCTAAGGCTGACGTAGGATGTAATGTTGCATGTACATCATCAGGTTGGTGAGATTCTGGGACCACATCCATCCCACAAGCTTAAGGACTAATGGTGATCCTTTGTCAGCCACAGAAGGTCTCCCATGGTTCTCTTTCTGCCCCTCCTCCTCCCTCCCTTCTTGGGTCACAGTGTCTAGGCTCTCCTTCCTGCCCCTCTTCCGGGAAATCCCATTCCCCAAGTCCTGTACCATCCTGTCTTCAGCAGGATTAATTGTTACCCCAGTCCACACATAAAGCATGTTCCAGGTCCTGCCTGAACATTGGGTCAGTGCTGGACTCTGGTAGGTCCTGGATGTTTGGACAATCTTCTTGGCTATTCATGACTTCTCTGGGCTCCATGCATGTCTTCCTCCAGGGGGTTGCATTCCTGGGCCACAGCTTTGGCTCTGCCCCTTCCCCAGTGATTCTCCTCCCCTCTCTTCCCAGGCTCTGTATTCCAGCCACTCAGGTCACTGCCAGTGTCCTGAAGAGTCCACACTTGGTCATGCGTATCCTTTACATGTATTTTTCCTATGTCCTAAGTCCTCATCTAAGTGAAGTGCTTTCATCTGTGGAGTAGGTGGACATAGAGATGAACATCCAGCCGAGAGAGGGAGAGAGAGAGAGAGAGAGAGAGAGAGAGAGAGAGAGAGAGAGAGAGAGAGAGAGAGAGAGAGGTGTTAGCCTGATACATGCCCTGCAAGAGATGCAGTTTACCCACGCATGTCAGTAGGTTTGAGGACCACTCTTGGTGTCCTACCAGCACTTTAAGTTAGCTGTGTGTCCTGGGTAGCTGTGGTTGTAAAATGCATCTGGCTCAAAATACCTTGCAGATGTTTTACTTTGCACAGAAGAGTCATCAAACTTGATCTAAGTCCAAGTGGGTTCTTCCTGTCTTGGCTCCAACCTGGGCAACACTTTTGGAGTCTAACCCATCTCAAAAGGAGCCAGCTTCCTCACCTTATCCAATGCTTTTCGGGTGTACTTGGATTAAGATGTGATGCCTGAGACACAGCAGCCATCCTGAAACTGTGAAGAGCGACACTATCAACAATGGAA